GTATGACTTAATAAAGAGGCATTTCCTGTGTCTGTATCAGTATAGCCGGTATAACCGCCTTTCGGCGTAACACACCACACACATTTTCTATCTATATATATTATGATTGGATAGAAGTATAGGTCCTGAAAATGTTGGTAGACTCAAACCCGCAGGAGAGACTCCAAACCAACTTCCAGTGCTTAAACTTTTGTGTTCTGTGGTTAGGGAATTCCCCCACCCACATGCTGCCACTCAACTATACAAACACAAAGGCTAACATGTGTGCACACAACACACATGAAAAACAATATCTGCATATGTACATGGAAGCAACAACCAGCCAGATTATCATGCGATATATATTAACATGTGATAAAACATATCTAAATACATGGTCCCTACATTTGAAAATCCATTTTCTCAACCCAGGGATCAGCAATAAGGAGGTTCCTCCTACTGTGAACTGTCCAGTAGTGAATAAACTTCTAAATGTTGAATAAACAATTCTCCATGCAATTCATAACCACAGAAATATCCAAGACTGTCCCACAGCTTAAACTGGCTTAAACTTAATGCCTTATTAGTATTCTGACTAGTTTTAATATTATTACAATTCTATATAATGAATGATATTTTATAGCAGTGTATTGTATTGCATTTTTATGACTATTGTATGTTATTGTAGGAATTTGTATTTCATGTCAACAATTGTTCGACTTTGTAATTTGTATTGCACTGTATTTATATTGTTGTGCTTTGGTGGACAACTTGTAAAGGTGTCAATACGCCTGTTTTGTCCTCCCTTCCACTTGTATGTTTATACTTGTGGTGAATTCTAATAAACAAATAAACAGACTAATGGTAGGGACAGATACTGGCCAAATTGAATGTTTTATTTAACTTATTTAAACATTTTCTGTATCGATTGTCAAAGTAATATTATCAAACCATGCAGAATGAACAAGATTATGCATTGTACCTAAATTACATATTGATAAAGACAATACTATCTGCAGCGTTCAGTTTTTTTGAAAACCGACTTTGCTCAGCTTTGAAGTTTCTATTCACCTCTATCAAAGTAATTAATGTGTAAAACTAGTTGACACATGTACATACATGTGTATGTTCAATTCTCACAATTAATAGCAAGTGTGTCTAGCAAAATGACTTATGAATTATGATGTCCATTTGGTTATCTTAGAAAAGTACATAATATCTAATTATATATAACATAATTATAGAACTGTACAAAATAAAGTCTTAATAGATGAGGTCACTGCAGATATTATTCCGCATAATAAGTGTTGTAATCTGCACCTGTTGATGTACATGTATGTAAGTTTGTAACAATAAACATTTCAGCTAGCCAAGATGTAATTGTGTATTATGATAACAGTTATCTACCATTTGGTATGTCAGCTTTAACTTTACTTTCAGAAGAACGTAGTTGCAGAATGATTATTTTGATGATCGAGGTAAAAACAGTGATTTGATACCTCATTAAGTATGATTAATGATTATTGTGTTTTGTGGCCCATATAATAGGAAACTAATGTCTGTTAACATGATGTAATATTTTGTTACATAAAGAGATCTTTGACACATTTATATGCTTGTGAAATAATGCTGAAGTTGATATTAATAATATCCTTTGCTGATTCATGATCCCTTGTGTGCACAAGTGTATTTCTTTCCTTATGTGTTTACATGTTTGTGTGTGTGTGTGCGCGCGCGTGTGTGTGTGTGTGTGTGAGAGAGAGAGAGAGAGAGAGAGAATGTGCGTGTATGTTTGTGCACCATTCTGATCAAAGTCCAGTGAAGATAGCCCTGCCATAAGTAGGCCAATGTTACGTGAGTGGATTGATCGAGGTTAAAGTCAACTTATGAGACACCTCTTAATACATTTTGTTAGCCAGTGTCCTCATTATGAGACCGAAAGAAACAGATTATTTCAGATAGTTACAACAATTTCTCCATCCATATTTAGAAGATCACCAAAAAACTGCATTTCTACCAAGTTCACAAAACCCACTAATTATGCAGAATGTGGGACTTTTCATTATCCACTGCCTTCAAAGAAGAAGTCGAACCCCATAATAGCTAGCGTAGTAGTAGAAGTTTTTTTCCAGACAGATTGTTACCTGTCTCCTGTTACTGTATTGCAATGAGTATTATACTTGATTGTAAAAGCAATTAGCCTTCGGGCATGAGTTTGCAAATAAAAAAAAAGTTAAACAGAGGAGAGTAGATACATTCCTCGAGCTCAACAGGTGTAAGGAGAGAAGATGTCCCAGAGGACAGCCTGTGCTTGATGTTCTGTCTTCAAACGGAAGTTTGCACAAACTTCGAAGGTACCACAATTTATTTTGTTTACTAGTATTTCATTTTCACTTGAAGGCCTTTTTTTTGTAAAAACAGACTCTGAAGTACATATTACACGTACATCAATATTGTGTACACCACAAATTCATAATTTCAACTGTTTTCCTTATATTTGTCAGCAAATATAGTCCAGCGGTTAGTGACCTTGGGTCAATAGGTCGGGGGTTCGAATCCCGGCTGCTGTTACCTGACTTGCACGCTACTAGAAAGTGTCGCAGTCTGTAGGACGGGTCATTAAAGGCATCCAATGCGATTTCAGGGAAACAAAACTGGAAATATTCTGAATCAGGCAATCTTTGTGATATTGACACATACTGCTTCACATGAGCACATTTAAGTCAGCATTTCATACTTTGGGCATTTAAAGCTGCAGAAACAAGCAAGGGCCCTTCCAGTAACCATTCTCCGTCAGAATTTTGGGAATTTTTGCTCCATGACAGTCAAAATACATTGGGACAGTGTTGTTTCCACGTAGTATGTAGATAAATGACTAGAATATTGGCTGTGAAAAATCAGGTTTCCAAGCCCTAAAAACTGCACTGGATGCCTTTAAGCCGTGGTGCACTGTTCATTGCCTTCGCCAAAAAGAGCTGGGAGAATTTCCTGGTACAATAAACCTGTAAGTACTGTACATAGCATCTTCTCTGTTACCACCAGAATATATAATAGTCCCATCAGGAGAGATATGATACATCATTATTTCACAACAATTGTAGCATGGTACAACATATGGCAGCATATTCATATATGGTATTGCTAACATTTATATAGCAGTACGTATAGTCTATTAGTAACAGTTCTACATGCAGAATTTCATGCAGTTGCTTGCAAATATTGCCTTCCTGTTTATTTGTTACATAACATCTGATTATTGAGCCCTTGACAGTTGCACTTTGGATCATGACATGTAATGGTGGATGCCACTTTGCAATAACTAATTCAAGCCACTGTGATTTTTTTATTGTTTCCAGGTTTGATTAGCTACCAATATTTCGTTACCTGATACATGTATATGTCATCATTATTTGCTGGCCACTAGATAGCCAGATAGGGGACTTAACTTGCATAATTAAGGAGGAAATTCTATAATTACAGTATTTTACAAATTTGTACTTTTATACATGTAATCTATTTAATCTATGGCAGACGGAACATCAACAGATACCAATTGCACAAATGGTGACCTAATTTGCATAATTAATGTGAAAATTCTTGTGACTCCTTATTGGTGAATGATGGGAATTTTATAACTTGTGACATGTGTAAGTTACTTAAAGGTTAACATCACTATGCATATATTATGTTAATGTAGAGGTCATTTGCATAATCAATTAGGACATATTGAAATGAAGTACGACTAAAGAGAGGAATTTCACACGAAAAGTAGTCATTTGATTTTATTTAAAAAACCATAGATATAACTAGACCTTATTTCCATAGTCAGTCAATGAGACAAATAAAACTAGATTATGCTAATTACGACCTTATTTCCATAGTCAATGAGACAAATAAAAGATCATTTACAAAAAGTCATATACTATGGTATTTCATGGAGGTATGAGATCTCCAAATTCTTGTTAAAAATCTAAATCATCCGCTTGGGGTTAAAAGTACACTACTTTTGCAATGTAACCCGGCCCGGCCACCCCCGTCTTCCTACTATTATTGGAACAGGCCAGTGAAATTCACTGAAGAGTGGTCTTACCGCTTTGGTGAAATTTTGGGAAGACGTGTTTTGTTGACATCTGGTCCACTGGCTTCTCTTGCTGGTACGTCTTCGATCGCAAACATTACAATCATTGTACACTTAAAAAGTACACCTTTAACCTCTCTAGCACATCATTGTATACGTGTTTTGTAGCAAATATGTTGGGCAAATATATATGTTGGGTCGGTAATCTGCTATACTCGTTATTGAGGCTAATTCGTTATGATGCATGGGCCTTTTTAGGAAGAATATTATTATTGCTGTCATGTATATTGTGCTCGCCCTGTACTTTGGTTTTCTTTTGTATCCCACAACAGCTGTGGACGTAAACAAAAACTCGAGAGGTCCATACTGAAAAACGTATAACCTGTAGTGTACATCTTTTCACGTGTAATCTGAACGCCATGTTGACTGATGACGTCATAACCGGTTGTACATGTATTAGACCGGATTGCTAACGTCCGGTCCCAGTAGTGTAGTTACGCAACGGATTAGTCGCACTAGTATTGATGATTATACATTTAATTCACTTACTCAGTGGTATAATTGTGGTGTACCTTATACTTTTGCGGGACGAAGGGCCAACTAGCCCAGTAAATAAGGGCCAACTTGCTAATACTGATTATTTACTGGTCAATTTTTTTACCAATTTCTTCTATCTAAATCGTTACTAACTTACCACACAAGGGAGTCTGGTGCCAGATACCTGTAATATAGATATTTATCATGTATTATCATAATACTTCCGGGTGAGGGATTATGCCCTAATTAAGTCGTGTTTTATTTAAAACTTTATTTGCAAAACCATGCCCGAAGGCTAATTGCTTCTACAATCAAGTATAATAATACTCATTGCAATACAGTAACAGGAGACAGGTAACAACTGTCTGGAAAAAACTTCTACTACTATATGTATGCTATCTACATGTATGATGGGGTTCGACTTCTTCTTTTGTGATCTTAGTAGAAATACAGTTTTTTGGTGATCTTCTAAATAACGAAAGGATGGAGAAATTGTTGTTACTGTCTGGAATAATCTGTTTCTTTCGGTCTCATAGTGAGGACACTGGCTAACAAATGTATTTCATTTTCCACTGCATCCATTGCACATTGTTTTATTGTTCCACTTCAAATACAGACCACGATGTCCCTTCCTGTGTGGATACTGAAGCCGCTGGTCACCCGTTTCGTCATTCAAAGCTGGAGAATCGTTTTCGTGGTTTACGGAGTTCATGCCATCAGGCGTGCTGTTTCAGCAGACGAAAAATACAAAAACAATTCGTGGGTCCTTCCTTTTACCTTCATAGTGACGTTGATCCTTGAGTTTTTGCTATACATCAGTGGAGTTTACATCGGAACGGACATGTGGTTTTTCAAAGCCACCGTTTCAAAAGTTCTTGAACTCTTGCTGTCGTTGGTCGGTCTGGCGACCTTTCACGTGATGATTGGTCAGGTTCGCGCCATGATATCTGTTGGCGAGAGGTTGTTTGTACACATTGTGGTGCACAACTGTTTGTTGTTTACTGTTGGTTGGGTTTCCATGGAGATGGTGGTACAGCTCGCTGTGGCGCTGGAGAAACTTCAGGATGTACCGTCTGATGGACTTTGGACCATGATGCTGTTCGGCACCGCCACTCACACAGTGATATGGACTTATATCGAAATCGTGAGGTCAGGAATCACATCTGTTTGGGTATACATAATATCAGTACTACGTATTTTAAAAGACATTAATTTTATGATAAGATTTTATATGATTAATTTTAATAAGATTAAAAAAAATAAAACGGTGCCATTGATAACATCTACTTTCCTACCAATAGTACCATGCAGAAAACCCCCTTCTTTTCCAATATAATGCTAGCTACCGTGACAGCAACATAAGCCTTGTTCATGTGAAGTCACCCAAACCGCGATTTGGGTAACTCACAATCCTCACATCTGGTCCACATGCCACACATTCCTTTCAAACCGTGTCCGATCACAATTCGCCTGAGGTACATTTAGTTGTTTGATGAAAACACGCAAGGTAGCGTGTTATTAATGTCAGAGGTCAATGACCTGCTTGCTGATGCCCCCCTCCCAGCGTATCTCGGCCGAATGCCGACGTTGTCCCGCCAGAGGCGGTGAAGCTCGTCCAAGAACGGACACATTATTTTACCTTTACTGCTTTTTAAGTTGCTGTTTTGCATCTGTCTAGTAATGATTTCATAACAAATATATTAATTTCAATGTTTCTTTTTCTTTTCCTTAGATTTCGCGAGGTATTTCGAGTCGCCGTCACAACACACGTGTCTGTTATAATGTTCATCGCCTGGACATTACCAACTATTCCTGAGGGTGTTTTTCTGCACACGGCACATGTTATACTCTTGGTAACAGCTGTCATCTTGGTCGCTCGACTCGTCAAAGCTATCACACAAATCAAAGACTTCACAACAGTGGCCCTCGGCTCGCACCCGAAAGGAATGGTCAAGTCTCAGAGAGAGATATCACACCTAGCGATGTATACCAAAACTACATGACTTCATTTTAGGTTTAAGTGTGTGCGTCATCATTACCTTCGCCAAGAAGTATGTGTGTGTGTGTGTGTGTGTATGTGTATGTGTATGTGTATGTGTATGTGTGTGTGTGTGTGTGTGTGTGTGTGTGTGTGTGCAGGCCTCAATATTGTTGTATAAATGCAGGTTTTAACATCTCTGGGCATGATTTTTTTTAGAAGAGGAAAAAGGGTAGTTCCTAGTGATTTGGTGATCCTGTTGTTTATCTCCTCTTCAGTCGTATTATCATTGCAACCAGGTTTCCAAGTATCGTACATTCCACTATAGACGCCAAACAAACTAAATAACTTCTAACAGTGTTAATATGGATTTGAAAAAAAAACAGAAGGGAAACTAGCAAAGGATTTGCCAATTTTGCGATTTAGATAAGATTGAGGATGACTATCATTTCGTAGTCGATTGTACGTTATATAGTAATGAGAGAAATTTCCTATATTCGTATATAATAGATAAGTTCCCCAGCTCTGGACATTTAAATGAATCAGAAAAATTTATATTTCTTATGAAACTTAACAAACCATGTATCATTAGTTCTATATGCTCGTACATCTATAACTGCGTCAAGAAGCGAGAAGACGTCGAACAATGTAAATAGTAGATCACATTAGTATGTATAGTTTAAGTATCATTGCTGTATCCTTTTCCTTGTCTATTCATGACCTGTACTTAGCTTGTTAGAGCACAAACGTACACTAAAGGTCTTTCATTAAAGTGAGTTGTTAAAGAGTGATATACCACACATGTATGTGCAGTCTATAGATATCGGAATACTCATATCTGGTCCCATGCGGAACACCACAGAAAAGCGTCTCTCAGTCGGATACCATCCCTCGGTACTTCACGCACGGTTGTCGGTTTAACAGGAAGACACATATCCAGGGAATGCATGGTGGACCGCAGTGAGATGGTGTACTGTACACGATCGAAAGCGTGTGTGAAGTCAGTGAGGACTGGAGTATTGCAAGACCCTGGCTTGTCGGGTGTACTTTCCAAAAAGTGAACCAGGCCAGTAAGCATGTGGTTAACTGAATTGATGATTTCGTTGTATTTACATATTAATGTATTATTTGGTTATGTGTAAATAGGAGACTACAACTTGTAGATACACTACATGTAAGGATTGTTCTCAATTCAAATTTGTAACCTTTAAAATACCGAAACGTTTCATGACAGAGGAGTATAACGTTATCTACCTGACGTCTTCTTAAAGATTATGCAAATTATCAAGGTGGAATGGCCCACGGGGGATGTACCAAAATTAACCAGTTTCACTTCCACCACCTCATTCCGTCGAATGAGGGAGGGGTGAATAAAAACCTAAAAATCTATCAGAAAGTTGAACGTAAAAAAGCTTCTAAAAAACAGCAAAAATCAGTGTTTTAGATGCAATGGCTGACTGTTCACTTTTTAAGCTGCACTATGTAACATTGATCATGTGACGATCCAAGGAGTAACTGTAGTAGTGCTGCTTGTTGTAGTGCTTTATAGTCAATTTAGTGCTATACGTAGTACTTGTTTGTGGTAACTGTAGTATCAAGTGCACAATCTGGTAGCTTACATCATACAGAGGGTCGGACTCTGCTCTCCACTCGCCGTCATCAGCTGCATACTGGCTTTCCTTGACGTTTCGCCCCTTGTTGCAGCACGTCTCTAGCCAGCGGGGCGACAGCGACGGCCACTCGCTGCCCGGCGAGTGGTTATTGGGTGGTATTCCTCAGTGTCCATACCCAGAGTGAGGCATCGACGGTGGTCTTGGTGACTCTCTTAGTTACTTCTCTCCTCTTCTTTCCTGCTAATCCTAACTGTCCCAGTGCCTTCCACAAGGTCTGTCCTATAAAACCCCTGCATCCTACTTCCACTGGGAAGTACCAGGTCTTCCAACCTTTCTCTCTACATCTGCTCACCAGTTCCTGATACTTCATTCGTTTCCGCTCGTTCGCTTCTTCCATCCTGTCTTCCCAGGGAACAGTCAATTCTAGCAGCACTACCTGGGTCGTTTTCCTAGAAAACAGGATCAAGTCTGGTCCTAGGTTCGTGTCGATGATATCTGCCGGGAAAGCCAGTTGTTTGCCAAGATCAGCATGTAAGGACCAGTCACTTGCTGATGCTATGATTCCTATCTGCTCTCTTTCCTTCTTCTCTTTACTCTTTCCTCTCCATCCCTCCTTTACAAAGCTGATGAACTGCAATCCCTTCCTCTGTTTTCCCTTGACCTTATTCTCCGTTATCTGTTCTTCTACTGCACTGGCTATCACTTTCAGGACTTGGTTGTGGCGCCAGGTGTACCGCCCCTTGCCTAGTGCAACCGGACAGCTTGTTAGGACGTGGCTAAGGTTCCCTGTCTTGCCACAGAGCTCACACTTGTCTTCATCTTTCTTCCTCCACCTCTTCAGGTTTGCAGCTGTTGGCAGAAGATCGTAAACAGACTTCAGCAGGAATCTTATCTTCAAGGGTTCACTATACATGAGTTCATTCCACATGACCTTTCTTTCTCGTACTCCCTCCCATCTTGTCCAAGCTCCTTGAACCCCCTGGCTTACTGCTCTTGATCTCCGAACCTCTTCCTCCTGCTGTCTAACTTCCTTCTGGATCAGTTCCCTCCTCTCCCTTGGGCTAGCAGTACCCCATCTCTGGGTTCCTTCCCTTCCTGCTCCAAACCCTCTCCTGCCTTGAGCTACTACTCCCACGATGTCTCTGTGCTTAAGTCTACTTGTTGCGCTGGCGACTGCTTCTGCTGCTGCCCACTTCTTTCCTGATCTTAGTCTTATTCCTGCCTGGCTAACCAACTCGTCTCGACTCTCCTGTAACATTAGTTGGGCTCTTGCCTTCGTCACTTTATACTCTTCTTCCATTGACGTTAGTGGCAGCTGTAGTTTGGCTGTTTTGCTGTACAATCCTATGCTCGTCAGTCCTGGAGGCACCCCCAGCCACTTTCTCAGATGTCTGCTCACCCTCCTCTCTACTTCCTCCACAACTGTAAGGGGTATATCGTACATGGTCATCGGCCATACTGCTCGTGGTAACAATCCATACTGGTAGCACCATACTTTGTATCTCCCTGGGAGTTCACTATTCTCAATGGCTTCTAGCCCGTCTCGTATCTGTTGCTTGAATTCTTCAATGTTCTTCTTGTCACTTAATGTTACATCAAACTTCTTCCCTAGGCTTTTGATGGGCTGCTCCGCAATTGCAGGGATTCTTTCCCCCTGCACTTCTAGCTGCAACTTGTCACAGATCTTCCCCCTTCGCATCACCAGTTTCCTGCACTTTTTGCCTTCGACGAGAAGGCTATGAAATCGGTTTCGGCCTGTTTTGTAGATTATGCACGGTAAAGTTTGAAGGCATGGTCCGAGGTTCACGATTTTTGGCAGGCAGGTTGATTTGGGGGTGGCCATTGTCAAGGCTAAAAATGGGCTTCGTGGGGGGTTCCTAAGTCACTGTAATTGACCTTGGTTTTTGGTGTTTTTTCCTTGTCATCAAGATATCTCGAGTATCCTTAAATGGATGTTCATGATTTTTAGTGGGCAAGTTACCGTTGAGAATGCCGAGGTCAAGTTCAAAGATGGGCCCCGTGGGGGTTTCTATGTCA